GTTGTTGCGCTCGCATCTGAACCGAGCACGGTGAGGGTGCTGTCGAATTGGAAGAAGTTGAGGATCGTCGCGGACTCTTGCGCAATGGCAGCGCCGGCGAGGAGCGGGATGTAGCTGGAGGGACGCATGTTGGGTGACTGGCGACGGCTGATGCAGATGCACCGCTGTCACGGTGGACTGGGCCTGAAGTTATACATTCTCTACCTGTCGAAATCAATACTTCGTGGTGTTACCAACGCCACCATGCCTTGCAATCAATGTTAGGCGACGAATCGCGGCCGCGGTGTGCCTGGCGTTGGTGATGATGCATCAGCAAATACGAGAGGCGGCGAGACGCGCTACTTGGATTGTTGCTTCCTAAGCCCAGGGGCGCGCGTGGCTGAACTGTGACCGACTCATAATGACAAAGATGTTACGGTAGCATAGTAGCACTCTATCCAAGGAAAGACCAGACCCAGCCCTAGAGGTGTCTACATCGGTCTAAAATGTTGTTGCCTTCTTTTTCCAGCCAGCGTAGAGTCTCGGGTAACCTATTGGTTTCTTTTTGGCATGAGGCGGTGGGAGCAAAAGAGTGTGGTGATGAAGGGTGCGAGGTTGGGGTTGTGACGCATCAACAACCGACTCTGACAAGCCGCACTCGTGTCACAACAGTTGGAAAAATAAAGCCCACGCCCGTGAGGGGTGTCTGCATCGTTGGGCAAAAAGAAAGATATATTGCAAATGGCAAAAAGAAACATTCCGACACCGGGAATCGAACCCGGGCCTTGCCGGCACTGCGCTGCAACAGCGAGCTTACTCTGCGATGAGAGCGGCAAATCCTAGCCACTAGACCATATCGGAAATTGATGGAATGAGGAGACAATTAGCCATATATATCTTTAGCAAAGCTTTTCCGACGAAAATTGAGGGGGTTGAAGTTTGCCGGACACGAAAAGTTTGCAGACCGACACGAGCTAGACAGCAAGTCATCCATCGTTGAGTCATTATCGTATGGGCTAGAGAAAAACTGGTCATCATTCATTACGTCGTTATGAAGCAGCAGCGCAGTGGACAGCCCAAAAACGCCCAAGGAAGTAGGCTGAAGGTCAACAGCGTCGACGACAATCCCATAGCAATCCAAACCAACACATCGACAATTTGAACACGAAAGAAACATCCAATCATCTCATCACCGGCGTATCCGCTCTCTCCGGCGATGACTGCACGATCGGCGCCAGTCCTAGCAGCTTCATGCCATTCTCCAGCACGACTGCAGTCGCTTCATAAAGCGCAGCCAGACCGGGGGTGACCTTCTCACCCTCAGCACCCTCTGGAAGACATTCAACAAGCTGCTCAGTCACACTAGCGAGATAAGTAACAACACCAGCCGGCTCGAGCGAGTGGTACGTCGCTGTCACAACCTCCGGGTACTGAGCCAGAATGCGCAGAAGATTGGCCGGGTCTTCTTCAGCTAACACTTCGTAATCTCCATCCGAGAGTTCAGCTGCGTCAGCACCTTTGAGCCATTGGCGGAGCTTAGCCAGCCAGTACTGCAGATCCGGACCCGATCCAAGCTTGAAGGAGGCCATCGCACCAGTATCGAAGGCATGTGTTGTGGTCAAACGAGTCGAGAGCTCTTGCACGAGAAGTGACGATGTTGCCAGTCCTTCCTTGACGTTGTCCAACCCACCTACCACTTCAAGCTTCTCGGCATCGGCTTCCGACAACGCAGTCATCCCTTCCTCGCATGCGTCCAATATACCCTGCGGCTTGTACCCTTTACCAAGCGTCGCCGCCATCTTCGACACCTCGCTAAATTTGACGTGGTGAAGCTTGTCGGCGAGCTCCTTCATGTCCATCGCTTCCAAGACCTTGATGAGCTGAGTGAAGTGGACGCTATTGTCGCTGGCAACCACATACACCATCTTGTCGAAGGGGTACTTCCTCGAACGCTCCAACACCGCGGCGAGGTCTCGGAGAAGGTACGTGCTGCTACCAGAGCGGTCGCGAATAATGGCCGTACCAGCCTTCGCACCAATGTTCTGCATGTGGATAATCTGAGATCCTCCACTCTCTTCCGAAATACCCTTCTCCTTCAGCATTTGCTCTACTTCCACCATAGTCTCAGGCTTGATCTGCGACTCGCCAGAATACTCATCAAAGCGAACACCAAGGCGCTCGTAGAACTTGGTGTAGTTGTCGATATTGGCATCTCGCACGCGCTTCCAAAAGGCCACAAGCTCCTCATCACCCTCTTCCAGCTTCTTGAAAGCTTCGTTGCGTTCTGCGAAGATGCCCTGGCTTTCGATCTCGGCCTGCGCTTCGCCTTTATCTTCGCCTTCCTTCGCTACTTCGTCGCGCGCCGCCTTGCTCGCCGCCTGTTCCGGTTTGAAGTCTTCTTCAATCTTGTGGTAGACCTCCAGGAGGTGTCCGACCGGATCCGCCTCATACGCCTCCTCCGAGCCGTACCTTGACCACCCAACATACAACAAGGCAATAGGCTTGCCCCAGTCGCCGAGGTAGTTGATACGCGTCACTTCCCATCCCATCGCCTCGTATAGTCGTCCGATGCATGCGCCGATGATTGTGCTTCGCAGGTGCTTTCCTTGGAACTCGCTGGTGATGTTCGGGGAGGAGAGCTCGACGACGAGCTTCTTGGTCGCGTCATTTGGGACGGCGGGAAGTGTGATAGAGCCATAGGACCTCTTTCGAGTCGAGGTATATGGCAAAAGAAGACGTGGCACGGACGTGACCTTGAGAAAGACACGAAAGTGAACGCCATCCACAAAGGGTAGGATAAAGAGTGGGTCGTCTTTTGGAAACTACGATCTTTAGCAAATTGGTCTCGTCTACGTTCCGCAGTCTAAGGGCATGACATAACGTACCTTTTGCATCAGCTCAGCAGCCACTTCACCAGCCTTCATCCCTGGTCGCAGCTTCGGAAGGACCACGGCCAGATCCCCGCTGGAAATGTCGTTCGGCCACAGTATACATTTGAATGTATGCTCAATGTCGCAGCCCAAAATACCCACTAAGATTGCTGCCAGATGTACGCGACACAAGTCCAGCGGGTTGGCTTCTGCTCTCGCCGCTGGCACTTCTGGCAGGGGACTGTCCAGGCTTAAAGAAGCCACGCACCCCTCGAGCGCCTCCATGATTTTTCCTTTGGTATTTTTAGCTGGCACAATTCTTGCTTGCACGCCGTGTCGCAAGGCTGTGAGTGTTTCTCGCTCCTAGTTCGCGACCCAGCAGCCGTCCAATGGGCACAGTCTTTCCAGGTGTGTATCAAGACGAGTGTTGAATCCGCGATATCCTCACGGCCTTTGAGGAGTGTCCAAATCCGCTATAGCAATCGAGTGTATATATGCATTCTTGGTAGCCTCGTCGCATGGAGACGGCAGTCTTAGTGACGAGGCAGTGTTGTCGTGGTTCGTCGCAATTGGCCTACAGCTCCTGCAGGCGCGCTTATGGCGATCAATGAGAACTCCAGATCTATGCCGGCCGTAGGCAAAAAACTGACTCCCCGCACTTTGATAGGTATTATGGTAATCATAAATGACGCTTGCTGACTGCGCGCTGGATGTACCTAGGTAGCTTTCAAAAGCCCGTGTGTTTTCACGATCCGCATGCTCTGCCGGTCTCGCAGCTTCAATTCATAACGATTCCTTCCCTGAACCTCATCTACGGAGTCATATTGCAATTCTGGTCTACAGATTGCGCTAATTTGAACCAGATTCAAAATAAGACGATGAGCGGACAAGGCTATCAAGGCTGCGGCACGACGTCATTTGTGGTGCCAGAACCTTGGAGTGGTAACATTGATCGCAGGTAGGGCTGTCTTCTCATACTTTCTTGATACAAAGTTAGTTCTTGCCGCCTAACACATCTCACAGCATCTATCCATTTGAGCCAGACGTGCTGCGATACTGGTATTCATATTGGGCCAAGCTGAACCCTTGCCACAGAGGTCTGCCTGCCAATGTCCTTCCTGCAAGGTACTGGGCATCAGATCTCACCGTGCGTCATCTCATCAGGATAGAAAGAAGGAACCGAGTCTTTACGTCCTACATCACACGCTGTAGTCTCGAACGAGGTTGAGCGTGTTAGACAGCTGGTGGCACTAACTCAACATCATCTAGCAGTGTTATTTTGCACTCGCTTCAATTAAGTCATTCCGCGTTACTAACCTGTATCACCATAACCATTATGACCATCTTCTCTGCGCCTCTTTCCAAGTCTCAACACAGCGCGGCGTAAACGATCCAGATTGCTTAGCAGATAGGTTAAGATCGAAAGCGCAAGACACATTACTGTCAACGAGATGGCAAAGGTTCTAGGCGTACGGTCGAAGTGGAAGATATCTCGGTCAGCTCCAAAGTATTGCAGAACAAGGACGAGAGGTGTCGTAATGCCGAAGAGCTTGCTACGTTAGCAAGAAACAACCTTTTTCGTGAGACTTCAATCGTCTACCTACCAGAACATTCACGCGTGTGCCTCGGCTTGTCTCGCTGGCAGCTTCCGTACTCCTTCGGTTGAGTATGTGTATCTTATGACTGATCTCGTTGGTCTGGCGATTGAGCTCATGCGCATGGTCGGCACGAAGTTGGGTTTGCCAACTTAGGCGGTTGTTCATGCGCTTCTGATACATTGATAACTAAGTTCCATGTCAGACGACAAACACCTAGTATAAAAGAAGACGTACTATCACTTGTGACTCTTGGCAGATTTTATCAAGCAGCTTCAATTTGTGCTGCAGATCGTCTAGTAGCCTGAAAGCTGCTTTCAAGTTGCGAAAGGCCGAGAGGGAAGCGGGATCGCTTAGGTCCGAGAAGTAGCGATAATCTCCGCTTGCAGCAGTAAATGTCGTCCAAACGCGCAGGGTCTTTTGAATGGTTCTATGCAACTTACCTAGAATCTGTATGGTCGTTGCCGTCTCCTCGAACAGCTGTTCAATGATAGGCTGGTCGCTCGACTTGTGGTTGGCGAGGAGTTCACGAACCCGCTTGTCTTTCTAGATTGCCTCAGCTGTGATCAACCCTTTTACTTTCTGGTATACCCACCCAAGCCTCAACGCCCTTCTCAACAAATCGAACGAGCAATACCCACTCTTCCAGAATTCGGAGAACACGAAGCTCAATTATGCGCAGCCAATACCGTCGCGGATTCCAGATGGGCACGTTCGCATCCCGGATCGAACACGTTCGGCCGTCTCCATCGACAGCAAAGTAATCCTCTTCTACGTCTTCAGGTTCGTCTTCCTGTCCTTCGCCATCGTCTTCTTCATCTTCTCTAAGCTTTGGGTTTAGAGACGCATTGACGAAGGCCCAGCCTACCCATTTGGACTTATCCCAGCCACAGATTACGATCGAGGTATGTGCTTTACGGATGACGTATTGTCGGGTCTCATGCTGGACACGATCATAAGGGCGCTGATGCTGGAGATAGGAAACGTCTATCAGGTTTTCCAAACTTTCGACGGTATGCAACGAATCAGTGGTGCTCGGTGTTGCGACCCTCTCACGCAACGTTAGAAAGGGGAGGTGAAACTCCAAATTGAAAACGTGTGGAGGCTATGCGTATATAAATTGTCATTAGTGAAGTCCCAATTGTTATTGTAAGTACTTACCGACATATGCACACGCAGTGACGTCTCGAATTCGACGTGTTTGGCGATGGCATCGCGCAGAGGGTCTATCTGATGCTGATGTACCGTATCCACGAGTGCACTGATGTATTCCGGGCTCAACTGATTGATGTAGCTGGTATTTTATCAGCCTCGATCACATTTCCAATCATCAATCCAGAATTTGAGACATGTAATGCTGTCTTTCGCTCATCGCCTAGTTAACTTTACTTCAGACCTCGGGGCATGATCGAACAGTGATATTAAAAAGCCAACGTTTGCGTAAGTACTGTTTCAGATCGGCCGCTGAGATATATCATGGTTCGGAAACGAGAAGTGGACCAACATTAACGTACATTAATCGCCGGTCTGCATCAGGCAGACTGTCACCATCGCTGGTGGAGTGAACAAACCGCTGTTTTTGTCAGCCAGGCCAGAATGGGCTTGAAATGAAACCCACGTCTGCAAGTAATGATTCCCTCAACGTCTCTGGTGTCAGCCATTCTTGCTCGTAGTCGCGACGACTTCCGGTACGATATTCGCGGTCGTCCAATCTCGCTCGCGCCGGCTGTAGGTTGCTCGGACTGCCCGAATCCATGAATCTTCGAAGGGTTGCTTCTTTCCACGATGGGATAGCACTTTCAACATCCTGGAGAAAGTAATCGAGTGTCTCTCGCTCAAATCCTGGTACGTTTGTTATGCTTGAGACCAGAGGGAGATCTACCAGTGGCCGGTGCGTCGAGAACATAGGATTCCATGGTGATGTATGAATTCTCCTTCTGTTTGTGAAACCTCTTAGCCCTTTCATCTAGTCCTTCACGTGTTGTAGAAAGTTAGTATAGCCTAGAGGGCGATGGGAACCGAAGCAGGGGATGTTGATTGGCCAGGCTCGGAGAAAGGTCGGGTCATGCTCCCGACAACCCTACTCAAATAGATGAATGGGAGGGTAGAGTGTTCTACTCTGTCTTCAAAATATGTTCAGACGATGCCACCCGCACTTCAACCAATGCGAGTAAACTTTGGTGAACAATTGGTAAGGTCAAATGGCGAAGAGGAGGAGGAGGTAAGAAGCAGTCACCACACAATACACAGGTTCTCTCAAGCCCCTATAACCAGGCTCCTACGTCTTGTGCAGCCCAACGTAGCGCCATCCGATCGACAGCTTCGTCTATCATACACTGTCTACTATTCGTGAGACTAGTCAAATGGCCTTTGCGCGACACGTTTTCACCTCTGAATCGTCATACAAGAGGTCATAAAGGCGATTGAGGGCGTTGTATCGTACATGCCTTGCATAAATGAGGCTATGTTGGACCTGCCCTATCGGGCAGGCGGTTGGCTCGGTCATAGATGACTGCACACTGTGTGTCAGTGTCAACTCGTCTATTCGGTCAATCGGCTGCGAAAAGATTAACTCCTCATAGCTTTCGATATAGTCGAAAACAGAGAGATATTCAACAGCAGGCAGATGTCTGCCTTCATCGGGCCTCCATGCATAGAGAGGTGCCAGCGCATTAAAAGCGCCACATGTGACTAACCTGGGTACGACCATCGATGTAAAAGGTCTCTGTGAAATTGATAGGAAGTGGATAATGGCCGGGTCAACCTGAGGTTTGATGTTCCCGAAGAACTTTATCGTTGTTCGATCGGGATGCATTACGAGATACTGGAAGAACCCGGGGCGGGGGCTTGTCCGCGATCTCGGCTACGAGATTGCCTTGCTGATGAGCCTCACGTTGGTTGCACAACGTCAGCATTGCGTAGAATGTTGCGGCGCCGCCCATTTCTTGATGGCCACGTCAAACAGTTTCTTCATTCATTCCAGGTGCCTAACGAAAATGTCCCGGCTGCTCTTCACCGGAATCAGTTTGTGAGGCGACTGATAAGCATCTGCGATACGATGGCTGTCCGCTGGACCGAAAGTGTATGGACAAAAATAATGTAGGAGGACCTAGAGAACGAAATCGGTCATGGGATCGGATGATGCTTGATCGGTGAACGTGGAGGGCGCAATCCCTACCGAACACACGCTAGTTGTCTTGGAAATATCTACAAAGAAGTAAATCCCGATGGATAGGAACCCAAGGCGGACTTGACCGAAAGTAAGAGTAAAGAAGACGAGCACTTTTTCGCGAGCTTGACGTTGTCATTTGTTACCATCACGAAGTGCTCATAACTCCATCGTAGACTTCCCAACCTTCGATCCACAATAGACACCTCACGTCTACACACGATCCGATCGAGTACAGAAAACATTGTGCGGTGATTGATAAGCTCAGTATTAAGACGACGGCTTGTTCTGAGTTGTTCCCGATGCTCCAACATTCGGTGGTCGCCAAACAGCGCGAGAAAAGCATGGAAGAGTCTTGTCGTTAGAGGGAACTGGTCTGACCGCTCGCCTATCGACCCAGGCATGTACCAAGGCAGAGACTCTGTACCATATGTAGAATACCTTACAGGTTCCCACCAGGGCCTCGTCGTGCGAGCTAGGTACACGATCATCTCAGCTGTATCTTTGTGGTGCAACAATTGCCACATCGTCCATATCCACACCCAGAACAAGCTTGGTTTTGATATGGTATGTTTGGCCGACCGCAATAACAGCATTGCCAAACATACGTATATCTCTTCTTGGCCTGGCAACGTAAGTCAGTGAGACTACTGTCCACTTCTATGAGAGGCCTCTCTTGCCGCTTACGAGTGTGTGTATAGGTGTGCGCTCGAGTCGGTTTCGCGTCGTCCATCCCGTTGGCACCGGGAATACCGCATCGAATACATGCTCCTCGAGGCATATTTTGTCGCCTCCTCTTCCACTGGTTCGGTATCGGTGTTGAGCGTGGTGTAAAAGGTCTCGATAGCCCTGCGCAGCACGAGTGGTGCAATGTCGCTGTTTGGTAAAGGCAGTGCGCAGCCAGCCTGAAGCTTCATTCGAGTCTCGGTTGGCTACAGATCGTATGCCAACAGTCGACATCGCAGCTTCGGCTCAGTAGTATGAGGCTAGCCGTAAGAAAGCGGTAGCTTCCGGGTCGCGATTCGGTGCGCTTTCTCGTGCTTGTCATGGACACACCCTTGGAACGGACGTGGGCGTCCTGTGCTAGTCAGCGTCTCTCGCTCCCTCCGTGGCTGTCATGACTACAAGAAAAGCTGGAAGGTAAAGCGGCGCTGTCGAAGTCATTCGAGTCGAGACATTGGAGCAGAAGGAACATCGAAGCGGGGCTCGGTAGATTCATATAACGCCGCATCAAAAGACGCGAAAAACGTTAGAACCTTGGAAAGGCCCGTGGATCAGAGGCCGTGCGCGAACACACAACACGGCATTTGCACTCACCTTGGTACACGATGGTGTTACGAGAATGAGCCTCGAGAAAGATGAACAGCAACTTCGCGATATATGTACCATTGGGCGAGTAATTATACATTTCGACGCACACCGAAAATACCTGTGTCTTATCCAGGGCTGCGTCCCACGGGCTGATTGGGCTGTTTAGCGGACGCCTGCATCGACACAGTAGCTCTCCACAGTGAGTGCCGTATGCTGTGGCAAGCTGCACAACCATCATTCTGGAGTAGATGAAACCTTCACAGAGCTGCTGCTCATTTGACGAGACAACAATAGACAAAAGGCAGTCACGGTGTGCATCACTACCTGGGTACTCATCCCGTACCACAAACTTCTCGGAAGATCGTACGATCAGCTTAGTTCAGAAGCTCCAGGAGTCGCTACCTTGGTTTGCTGTCCATTGACTGGAAAGCAGCGACCATCTTGCTGAACCTGCAAGCGTCACAGCTGTCACAAAACGACCAGATTCGTAACGTCGTGTAATGAGGGCAGATTGAGTCAAGCGGTCCGAAGCCACTGTCCCCCGTCACAGCCGGTGATTTTTGAGCTTGCCGGTCTTCACTCGAGCTAGCAGTCCGATGTACACATCCTGTGCATGGAAAGATGCCACCACACTGTTAGCATGCCCTGTTGATGGGACGCCAACATGAGGTCTTCTGATGGAAAAACAAGCCAATACCCATGCGTGGGTATTTGTGTGTTGGCAAATCTGTACACCGCACTCCCTATTCGACTCAATTCATGCCCGATGTGGGAGAAGGCTCTTCGCCGAGCGTAGGGTAGAGTGGCGACAGAGCTACCAACTGGAACTCCAAGTGGGAAAGGGGCCCCAACAATGTATTATCTGTGGCCAACTGTGCTGGGCTGTCCTGCCGAGATTCGCCATGACGCAGAATCTTGCCGGTCAGCCTCTGATCTCACCATCCCTAGATAGGTCACCATTGATCTCTTTGAACACAGTAACACGAAGCCTAAATGGTCACTCTGAGATGTGATAACGCTATCAAAATAGTGCCGGTCACAGGATGCCTTTTAGATTTGAGTGTGTTCAAATAAAGGGTAGATGCGGCTGAGCGTGATCACATAGCCTGCACATGAGCAGCAGTCCAGTCCCAGCTGTGGGACGTACTACTTTGTCAGACAAGGTTTCGATAGAGTAACGACCATTCTAACAGGGGCCCTGCTATTGTAAGACCTCAGACTCTTCCTTAGTTGTTCTGTGCTCATAGCTTAAGCAGTGGCTTAGTCTTCACCAGTAGTCGCCTTTCTGATCTACCTAGATAGTCGCTAAGTGCGCAAAATGTCAAGTCTAGTGATGTTTCAAGAGGCATTAGAGATTCGTTAAAATAAAACATTGCAGTGTATACGTACAAGAACTAGCGACTAACATGCTTTGCGTTGATATCAGTTGCAGATATTGTAATCCACTCTTCTACGTAGTCTTTTAACTAAAGAGATAGAAACTCGAAAATTTGAAGTTTAGGCCGAACGAATATTGTTGTAATTGCAAGGCTAAGTTTGTGTCGAACGTTTAACCTGTAACAAGCCGTAGACCTAGATCTAAAACGAAACAGTATCAAATAGGCAATACCACATAAAGGTGCTCGAGAGACTTCGTAGCAGCTGAATAGTATTAAGGACGAAACATATATTTAACATCATAGTAGGTTGCTCACAATAAGAGTAGACTACACTACCTCCTGCAATTTCTTATGCTTAGGTACCCGTATACACAGAACGGAAGCCCGCGCTTATGGCAGATAGCTAGCACACCCCGAAATAGAATCGTTCTGCATGCTCTCGGTCTATTATTTCATTTTTTTTTATTCAGAGTCCTAAGCTTTTACTCTTACGAGTATGCTGCTATCCTGTTTTCATCCCGTGCCTCGGTCTATTATAAGTTTGTAA